TATGTACGTAAATATATATATATACATATGTAAGTGTGTGTGTGTGTGTGTGTTCATAAATCCTGCTCCCATGAACCTAGAGCGATCAAAATGGGTATGGGTACATACGTGCGTCCTAGGGTGCGCGCGGCAAATTGCGCGGCGAAGTGCGTGGTGATACAAACGATTTTGGCGTCTATCATTGGGTCATAAATTCTAAGTAGTTTAGTAGGGTCAGCTGATACTGCAAATCTACTCTACTTCAAATTCGAGCTCCAATAATAGGCGCCAGAGCAATCATTACGCACTTCACCGCGCGATTTGCCGCGCGCATCCTCGGACGCACGTAAGTTCCGTCCGCCGATCAAAATTAGTAGGAGTACAGTCGATACGTGACACTAGCAGTACGTGACAAGATTGGACTACGTCCTTCGGGCTGCTTGGCGTGCGCAAAAAATGTTTCCTTGTATCTCGTGGCGTTCAAACTCGGAAGGGATATACGGCGCAGGATGAGGATGCAGGCGGTTGGTGCTGCGAATGAACCCCACCATGAGTTTGCGGGACGTGCACGAAAGCTCTTCTTTTGGACTGAGAGCGTTCGACTTCGAAAGGGGTTCAGGCGACAAGATCATAACTCTTATGATGAGAGGGCGGAGAGTGCACGAAATGGACCTAACCTGAACGAAACTGCGCAGCCAATTTGGAATAAGTGAAGAGTGAACCACGTTACACAAACTCATATAACTTGAGTAGGAATCCGCATATGGCTGCCAAGCGCTCACGAAGTGTGTCGGGTGTGTGTGCGTGTGTTTAGGCGTAAATTCATAATTCCTGTTCCCTGTACCAGAGCCTCTGAATTCGGAAAGAAGGCCACAAAAAAAGTTTCCAAGGAAGGGAGGCGTCCTCGAAGCATGATTGCTCTGTGCCACGACAACATTGCCTTACTACACAAGTTCCACTCCAATCAGATGATGTAAAGCCAGATTCCATCTATGTATAGTGTATACTATACTCTTTGCTTCTGTTCAGAAGCTTTCTGCTTCTGTTAAAAAACATGCCGTAGTATTATCAATACTATATACATTTTCTCCATCTAGGAGC